TCCAGCTGGGGGGGGGGGGGCTGCTGGGGAGGATGCCGTTCCCGGGAGGTGGCACGCCGCACCGGCGCGCTTGCACGTCCGCTGTCGAACACAGCTGCCCGAGCTGGGGTGGCCGTGAGTCGGAGCCGTCCCTCTACAGGAGGGATATTCAAGAGTAGTCGAAGAATAGTCAGGGGGCGATTTTTTACAATTTTGGGAGGTGTTTTTACAATTTGAATAATCGAAAAATAGTTTGGTATTTGTTTGACCATTTCGGGGGGTATTTTTTACAATTTGAACTTTTGTTCGCCGATGGCACGTCCGCGGTCGAAAACCTGCCCGAGCCGGGGTAGCCGTCAGTCGGGCCTGTCCCTCTACAGGAGGGATGCTGAAGAACAGTCGAAAAATTGTCTTGGGGCGATTTGTTTAGTATTCGTTCGACCATTTCGGGGAGTATATTTTACAATTTGAACTTTTGTTCGCCGATGGCACGTCCGTGGTCGAAAACTTACCTGAGCCGGGGTAGCCGTCAATCGGGCCCGTCCCTCTACAGGAGGGATGCTGAAGAACAGTCGAAACATTGTCTGGGGGCGATTTGTTCAGTATTCATTTGACCATTTCGGGGGGGATGTTTTACAAGTTGAACTTTTGTTCGCCGCTGGCACGTCCGTGGTCGAAACCCTGCCTGAGTCGGGGTAGCCGTCAGTCGGGCCCGTCCCTCTACAGGAGGGATGTTGAAGAACAGTCGAAAATGGTCTGGGGGCGATTTGTTTAGTATTCGTTCGACTATTTCGGGGGGTATGTTGTACAACTTGAACTTTTGTTCGCCGCTGGCACGTCCGTGGTCGAGCACCTGCCGGAGCCAGGGTAGCCGCAAGTCGGGCCCGTCCCTCTACAGGAGGGATGCTCAAGAACAGTCGAAAAATGGTCTGGGGGCGATTTGTTTAGTATTCGTTTGACCATTTCGGGGGGGATGTTTTACAATTTGAACTTTTGTTCGCCGCTGGCACGTCCGTGGTCGAAACCCTGCCTGAGTCGGGGTAGGCGTCAGTCGGGCCCGTCCCTCTACAGGAGGGATGCTCAAGAACAGTCGAAAATGGTCTGGGGGCGATTTGTTTAGTATTCGTTTGACTATTTCGGGGGGTATGTTTTTCAACTTGAACTTTTGTTCGCCGCTGGCATGTCCGTGGTCGAGCACCTGCCGGAGCCAGGGTAGCCGCAAGTCGGGCCCGTCGGGGAGCCAGAGACGGGGTAACAGCAGACGGGGTAGCAGGGAACGGCTGGTTCGAGGCATCAAGTGGCCCTTTTGTTGCAGAGCGTTTTTTTTGTTTGTTTTCGCATTTGATGCAGCACCTTCCACATGCTGGCTGCGTTACACAGTTTCGGCTGCTGCACTGCAACTTCTTGTTTGTGGCCCCCTCTGTTACACGGTTGTTCCGCAATTAGTTGCCAACACATTGCAGTGCATCTTTTTGGGTTGCAGAAAAATGCAGTGTGTTTGTTTGTTCTGGTCGTTGCAGTTTTTCCACCTGGATCCCATGGTGGGTCTGTTACCTCGTTTAGGCGTTACCAGGTTTACGGGCTCCCTGAGCCCGTCCCTCTACAGGAGGGATATGCAAGAATAGTCGACACATTGTCAGGGGACGTTTTTTTCAGTTTTCGTTTGACAATTTTGGGTGTTATTTTTTCAAGTCTAAATTGTTCGCCAAGAATCCCCCTGCAGGGACAGGCCCGACCTAATAATAAAATTCAACTAGCTGAACCCTCACATCCCGCTCTCTCTGGCTCAGGCCTTAGCTCAATCTGGGTTAGTTTTTGGCTTAATGGTCCTGCCCCTTAATGGGGTTTTATATTCGCCTTTACTCGTGTTTAGTTGCGGGCAGGCGTTTCTGAGCCTTTTGATACATTCCGCGCGCCGACCTGAGAATTTCGCAAGAGGCCCGTGGGGCGCCCTGACGTCGCGCGAGATGTGCGACTGTTGCGCCAAAGCAGGGATCAGCGGCAGCAGGATCAGCAGCAGCAGCGAGGAGAGGAGGGAAGGCGAAGATAAGGAGGAACAGTCTCCTCGACGACGAGGAGCATGTATCGCCACACCATGGAAGTAAACGTTTGGTGCATGCTCGCAAGCACCAAGTCGGGTGAACAACTTCGACCCCTGCCCTCAGTACTCACCGAGCGCGTTCCACTACTCGCAAAACGCCTACTCGCAAACGTCTGACAACAAAAAATCTGCCTCAATGTCATGCACCGCAAAAGCCTCCCCAGCGGATCCAATCCATTTGCGAGTAGTCACTTTGAGAGTAGTGGAGCGCGCCTGCCTAAGTACAACGACAAGAAGCCATTTCAGGATGCTTACCCGTACGTTCTGTCACGAGTTTGCGCTGCGCATGACAGCGGCGCGCCTTCAGACTCCCAGTCGAGGGGTCGGCAGACTAATTCCCACGTTGAGTTTCAATCGACGGCTTTGTTTCTTCCTCGCAACGCGCGAGGCGGCGGCGATACATCTTAGCTCGCCCTAGGAGGGGTCCGACTTTCCCCCGAAGATCCTTGGACACATTTCTTCGTCCAGTATCCGTACTACGGAGTTTTGTTTTGCAAGGTTTTTTTTGTTTGAACTCCGTGGTTTCGTACTATGGCTTCCTTGTCCCGAAATTACGGATCCTGGGTCTTTGGTGTTGGCCCGGTCTCCTCTCTGGTCTCCTTGCTCGGCCTCTTCCCCCTGATTCCCTCTCATGCCGCAGCTGCTCCTCTCGCTCCAATCCTCGATTCTCGCTTCGTCGTTCCAGCCCGCCGCAGTCCAAAGCGCCTCCTGTGCGGCACAAGGTCCTCCTTGCTGACAGCATCAGTACTGCCAGGGCGGATTTCGGTACTGCATCGTTGTACCGTGGGCAGGGTTTGAAGTTGATCATTCAACCATTTGTGTACACTACCAGGACAGTGCAACATAACCACACCCATATAACATGCACACTCTACGCTGTGCATCACTGGAAGCCTACAAGTAATATGCTATTCGACCCATACCATAGACAGTCATAACATGCCCAACAAGTATCCCGCACGTAGCCAACTAATAACACGCAAATGTCCGGCACATCCAAAGTGTGATAGATGCTTCACTTACAAACCATCATCGATAACCGCATTATAACCAACCATGGCCGCGCAAAGATCACCTGCCGTCGAGCAACATTCCATTCCGTACGCGTTTACGCGAATGGGAAAATTTTGCCCCGAGGCAATACCACGACGCCACGGTTACGCGGGCTTGTGATTCCGCCGCGTGAGATTTCACACCGCGCGAGTGTAACCGCGAGTTTATTCGGCTCAGTCGCGCTCTTCCGCAGACTAGGTCAAGCCAACCGACGCATCAGATGCTCCAGGAAGGCGGAGTTGTAATCGCATTCTCTTGCTTCTGCGCGACTCCGCGAAAGGTCCTCGAGTGCAGCCAAGACGTTGCGAGCGTTCAGCCTCACCCCTGTTTTCCCTTGCGAGTCGGGCCTTGCCGTTGCCAGTGTGGCTCGTGCCACCGGCCGCTGGGTGTTTTTGGGGCGTCCTCTGATGATGGGCCAGTTTTCCACCACCACCACCATAAGTTGGAGGGGGGAAGGAGGTGGAGGATGAGGAAGAGGAAGAAAAAGAGGTGGAGGAGGACCCCCTCCAACCCTCCAACTTATGGTGTTGGTGGTGGAAAACAGGCCCATCATCTGAGCCGCGCAGGACGTTCAAAGTCGCGCCGGGCGCGCGGGCGAGCCCTTTTTGCTCCGCGTCGTGCCAGCTGGAGGAGTAGCTGCCGTGCGCGACGGGCGCCGCCTGATGCCCGTGCCGCGGGCGCGTTCGTCGATGACAGCGCGAGGGTGTCGTTGCGGCCGCTGCTGCAGCTTCGCGCAGCTCGAGGCAATCCCGCTCGGGTCTCAGGGATGCTGCGCCCTGTGCGTTATAACCACACTGCATCTTTCGAAGGGCACCTAGGCGCCTTCGTTCCCGTCCCAGCTCCTTCACATTAAATCGGGCCTGTCCCTCTACAGGAGGAATATTCAAAAATAGTAAAAAATAGTATGTGGACCATTTTTTAAACAATTTTCGAGCGTTGCCGATTCTTTAAGCAGTTTTTGAATATTTTTCATTTTCCGCCCAAGCTCCGCCTGTACGACGACATGCCCGACCCAACCTGACATCCACTCCTTCTGGCGAAGACTTCCCAGGATGGGCCTCCCACGTGGGGCCAGCGGGGGTGGGGACCGGCTGGGCGATGCCGAGGCGCTGCCCGCGCGGCACGCCCCGCCGCCGCGCGTGATGACCGCCGGTGGCGCGTCCCGCCTCGCCGATCGCCGCTGGCCGCCGCTGCTCGCCCGTCGTCGGTCGCCGCCGCAGCAGCTGTCCGGGCCTGCGACGATTTGTTTGTTGTTTTTGCAGTCTCGGCGTGGTTCTACGACGTCGGCCTCTCAGGGATTCGTGTTCCTGGGAGCCTTGGAGTACACTGGCAGTTGGTGGTGTTGGAGTTGGTGCAGATGGCTACTCGCGGCGAGAAGGCGGTGGTTGGTGCAGGGGCGTGTGCCGCTCGGTTGCCGCTATTTGCCGCCAGATGTCGCGAATCCGCCAAAAAAGCTTGTTCATCGCATACTTCCATAACAACGAGCGTAATGCCTCATGGGCCCGCTGATCCGGGCGAAAGATCTCCCTGGGAGGGAGTCGGGTCCTCTCGGGGCCGCGCATGGTCAGATGTCATAGGTAGCACGTTCGGAACCGTATTGGAGGTCTCCCTTCGGGCCAGATCTAAGGGCCTCCAGAAGGCTTCGCTGGGGGGGGGGGGCGGGCGAGAAAACGAGGACGGACACAGAGGACATCAGGTGCTAGGAGGCGCTAGGGGGAGGAGGAGGAGGAGGAGGAGGAGGAGGAGGAGGAGGAGGAGGAGGAGGAGGAGGAGGAGGAGGAGGAGGAGGAGGAGGAGGAGGAGGAGGAGGAGGAGGAGGAGGAGGAGGAGGGAGGAGGAGGAGGAGGAGGAGGAGGAGGAGGAGGAGGAGGGGGAGGAGGAGGAGGAGGCGGAGGCGGAGGCGGAGGCGGAGGCGGAGGCGGAGGCGGAGGCGGAGGCGGAGGCGGAGGAGCGGAGGCGGAGGCGGAGGCGGAGGCGGAGGCGGAGGCGGAGGCGGAGGCGGAGGCGGAGGCGGAGGCGGAGGCGGAGGCGGAGGCGGAGGCGGAGGCGGAGGCGGAGGCGGAGGCGGAGGAGGAGGAGGAGGAGGCGGGAGGAGGAGGAGGAGGAGGGGAGGAGGAGGAGGAGGAGGAGGGGGAAGGGGGGGGGAGGGGAGGGGGAGGGGGGGAGGGGGAGGTGGGAGGGGGAGGGGAGGGGGAGGGGGAGGGGTTACGGAGTTACGGATATTGCGACCATGTCGGTTACTTAATGGAAGCCCAAACAGCAAACTTACACGGGCTTACCCGCCGCGGCCCGCTTGGCTCGCTCAGCTTTGCTGTATTGTTTGGGCCATAAACCCTGTTGAATTCGAGAAAGGTAGTCTTGACGACTACGCTTAGGTTCACATCCTTGGATAAATTAGCCAGCTGTTTTGCTGCAAAGCTTCCACAGGTAGTGCAAAACCAAACCCCCAGTCCAGCATGATATTTAAGTCGGTGAGACGGATGGGCGTATCCCCCCCAACGTGCACCCGCTTCCCTGGAGGGGGTTCCCAAACAGCACCATCGCCCGTGGAAAGGGGGAAACACGGAGAGTCCAGCCAGGCCTTCTTCTGGGCCTGCGAGGTCGACCCCTTGCAACGATTACAACAAAGACCTGACACGGACAGTTGATGCTGAGAGCTGAACATACTACAGACCATTGGGGCAGGGGGCCTAGGTCCAGGGTGCCTCAGACGGGGCCTCGAGCCCTCAGACTGTTGCTCAGCTTCGATCGCCTCTAACGTGCTCAGGAGAATTCTCATCCTAACCAGGTATGCCATGCGTTCAGTACGGTACAGACGTGCACGCGCATCGGCCTTAACACGCACGGAGTTCGCTGCAACACCTGCTAACTCGTCGGCAACAGCATTTCCTAGAATGAAAGGCGCAGGGGTCCTACTCTTACACATGTCTATGGCTTCCTGGTGTGAGTGCACACAGATGGCTGTGATGGACAATTGGGTGCCACGGGCCTTTCAGACAGCTCCAATGTGAAACCACAAATCTGCATGTTCACCTGACGGTGTGGCGGGGCGGCCATTGTACCAGCCTGAGCATACGGCAGCGTTGCCCGTCACGAAAACAGTGCTGCCGTTGCTGCCGCGCGCGGCGAGGTACAAAGCGTACAATCCGCTCTCGCCACCGTCTGAGCTGTGCTTGGGGGGCGGCCCCAGACGATGATCTCGATCATCATGTGGTGGGTCAGGCCAGAGAACACCGCCACTGCGAGTTCGACGCGTCGGGGGGCAGCGTCACTGGTATCCTTGCCCCCGCTGGCGTCGCCGAAAATGAAGGTAGGCGCAGCCTCTGACCCGTGTGGGAAACACGCTTCGCCAACGCCATCGATGCCATGACATGTCCAATCCTCATCCTGGATCGGCTCTGGCACCTCCAGCCATGGCTCGGGAACCAGGCCGCGCACCCAGAAACACGCCTCGGCCTCACGACCCGCATGCGCCTTGGCTGCGAACTCGTCGGAGAGGTCGTAGATCTCATGATGCTTGCGGCCTGAACATTCCCATACTCGATGAAACGATGTCTCTTTGCATTCATTGCACCTCATACAACTTTCGGAGATGCTCTGCTTCGACCTCTGCTGTCGACGGGCTCGCGGCCAGGCTGCACCAGCTGCCGATGCCAGCAGGGGGCCAGCCAGGCGACGACCGCCTGGGGCTGCCTCCAGCTGGCGGAGTAACTGACGGTAAGAAGCATTGTGGATACCCTGCTCCATCCCAGCTCCGTCGAAGTGAGAAGAAGCTGCAAACCGCAACTGCCTCTGGATTGTACGTGCGAGCTCCGAAAAGAAGTGCTATGGAAGGTCAACGCTGCTGAAACCCGTGAGGTTCTCAACCTTAAACCCCCAGCTGTTGACCATACCAGTGTTGTCTGATGGTATCTGCCATTCTGATGGAGCGATTGGGTCCCATCCTGCCTCGAGCAAGTACGTGATGATCGTACCCTGAGGACCTCGGATGAAGCGGTGTCGTCGCTCGGGCGGCATGCTTCTGAGTTCCTGTGCCAGACGATGCCACGACTGATTGACTCCAGACCGAATGTGGGGAACTGAAGTCCAGCAAGACAACCACAATCGCAAACACTCCACTGGCATCTTGAAAGCTGGATCGCGCTGAGGTGCGCGAAGGTCGAGCAGAGTAGTCAAACATCGCCCTGACAATCTCGGGGCAACTGCATTAGCAACTTTGCGTCGTACTTGCAACATCTGCTGACCAAACAACCCATGAATTTGATGTCCAAACGTACCTGCAGCCTGGGCGCCCTGCTGCTCAAGGCGGCTCGTCAATCCGTACCTCCTCGTCGCCCGAGCGTACTGCAGAACTTTCTTACTCATCTTATTGTGTTTAGTGATCCGAGCCGTGCGTGTGGCTCTGGCATGTCGCTTGCCACCGCCCATGTCGCCACCAAGGTAGGCCAAGGTAGGCCGTTTGACCCGCCGCGTTGATGTGGTAGCCTTTGAGCCGGAAGCGTCGTGCAATCACCTTGGCGTCGCATAACCGAGCGCAGAGGACCACGCTCTTCGTGGAGACCTGCAAGCCAGCATTCTGGATGGCCTCACAGGTGTCGGATAAAGACTGCACCACCTTGGAGATCATAGCCCTTCGGGACGCTCGATAACTCTGGCTCAAATCGTCGATCCACAGCCTGTGGGACATGTCAACATGCACCGTCGTGATCTTTGCCATGACATGGTACGTAGCGCACTTGGCGAAACGTGTCCCAGACCTCAGGCCCTGGACAATGGACCTCGTGGGGTCAAACGGAGCCGAGTACGCGCCCGACTGGCGCACGCAACGCGGGGCCATGCGCTGCAGCAGCTCCAGCCCCAGAATCTCCGCAGGGAAATTGAGCTTGAGTGCCGTCCGTTCGAGCATCATCCACCCCATCGTGTCGTAGATGGCGAGGTCGATGAGGCCGTGCCCGTTCTCCGTGGACAAACGCACCGCCAGTTCCTCGTCGATCGCGCGCAGGAAGACCTCGCGGATCGCCGAGTTGCCGCGCGTAGCAGCATCCCAGTGCGGTTCGCACTGGTCCGTCCAGGCACGAACGTGCTGCTCACGCGCAGCTGACCAGAGCCGCGCCAGGTGAGGGAGCAGCACTATCACACGGTCCCCCTTGAGCTTCTTGGGAAGCAGGGTCCCGATGGTCATCAAAAGCTGATGTGGCCAAACTTGCCAAGCCTCACATATGTTAAGGAGCGTGGCCAACTCATCAAGAGCTGAAACGGGGAGGCGGGACGTGTCCAACGGAGTCAGACGACCCACCCCCATTGCACCACATTTCATATGATCAGACGCTTCCCGCAGGGTAACACCATCAAGAGGTGGAAGCGCCTCATCTGCAACTCGTTGTCGAATCTCCTGAAAAAGGGCGTGCAGCTCGCTCAAAGGCTGGCCAGACGGTCCCCAGAGTGAAACCCAATGCTTGCGTTTCTGATCCATAATATCTCTGGGATGCACAATTGACTCCCCATCCACTTTCAAAAGTGTCGCTGACAAGGGGCTGCTCACGGATGGCCCTGTGCAACGTGCTCACTGCGGGGGCTGTCTCAGCCCAGGTGCGGAACTCGCTCATGGCCTGGCTGAGCGCCGTTGTGCTCGTCGTGCAACCCTGTCAGCAGCCTCGGAGACTATCTTGAGCTCCTCAAGGGAACTCCCACTTACGCGATTGAGGAACTGCAACCAGAAATCCCAAGCAAATCCGTCAGAAGGCCGAACCACCTGATGACCGCGCTCGGGGGCCTCCTCATTCAGTCGCGCCGCTGCGTCGACCAGGAGGAGCTGCTGCTTGATGCCTGAATCCTTGTCCCTGTAGCGCGCCAGCATGATCAGCGCGGTAGCCACTCGGGTCCACCAACTGGCAACCTTGTCCCTGAGGGCCACCTCTCGTGCTGGTTTCGCCCCCTGAACCTCTGCCTCGTGGAACTCAACAGCGTCGCCGCGCGATCTGCCGAGAGGGGCCTGACCGCGATGGGAGTGTGCGGTTGCCTCCACTGCCTGTAACCAGGCTGCAAACAGGGCTGAGACGAGGCCTGAATCGCTCGAACAGAGTTGAAAGGCTACGGAGAAAACAACAGCATGAGCAGGGCGGGAGGCACCAGCAGGAATCATAGTAATACCAATCATACGATTTATACTTGTATAAACAAGTCGGGCCCATCATCTTGATAATCATGCGACGAATCTTTCTCCAGTTATAATAACAAGATGATGTGTGGGACGAGGGGGGGGAGGAGGGGAGGAGAAGAGGAGGATCGGAGGAGAGGGTGGAGGAGGAACACCAATCATAACAATAAGGTGACACATACTAACACTCAGACTAGCAGATATAACAAATGTAATATTTTGTTCACTGCAAATGCCAATGCGAATACTACTAGCACTATGAACTAATAATATTACTACTATGCGACTACTGACAATCGTAATCATACAAGCACGCAGGATAAGGCGCAACGGAATACAACGACTGATATGCGTAATCGTAGTTCGAGTAGTAATGCGACTACGACTACAACGATTTACACTTATATCGCATTCCAACTCATTGCAGCCATGATGCATCCATATGAGCAGTTATACTGCAGTTGTTATTACCAATACTACTAATACTATACGGGGAAGACGCAGGACTCAACACAAGACTGCGGCGAATGCGACGACGCACAATCGACCGCGACTGATAATACTTACCATCAAGAAACGAAAACTACTACCAACCAATACTAGTATGAACAGTATCATTCACACTAGTCCCACGACTAACACTTGTAGAAATAGTGCGACTGAGAAGACAAACGATACTACGAACACTCAGGTATACTCTAGTGAGAAGAAGACTGAGAGGAGGAGGAGGGGAAGGAGGGGGAGGTGGAGGAGGACGAGGAGGAGGAGGGCGAGGAGATGTGGAGAGGGTGGAGGAGGACGCAGAGGAGGAGGAGGAGCAGGAGTATGACGAGGGGAGGGAGGGAGGAGGAGATGGAGGAGGAGGTGAAGGAGGAGGAGGAGGAGGAATTAGGAAGGGAAAGGAGGAGGGAGGACAGATGGAGGAGGGAGGGAAGGATGGAGGACGGAAACAAGAGGAGGAGGTGGGAGGAACAACGAGAGGAATGAGGAGGAGGAGGAGATGGCACGCTGGAGAGGAAGAGGTAGAGTAGGAGGAAGGGGAGGAATAACCCAGAGAGCTTGGTGCATGAACGCTGGTGGCGCGCCTGCTCCGTCTTCGTTCTCGACGTCGTCGTCGTCGTCGTCGTCGTCGTCGTCGTCGTCGGGGGGGTGCCCAGGCATCAACGACAGAAACATCCAGGCAGGACCTTGTTCTCCAGTTCCGTTTCTGGGGTTCTGGCCTGGGCTCCGGGCTCGTCAAGGAGCGACTCGGGATAAACTGGGGGCTGGCCCCGCAGCGAACAGGCCAGAACGTCGGACGTTCCAGGGGCCCGCGGGGCGTCTTCTGGAGCTGCCATCGGCGCGCGGAGCTCGTCTTACTCCCTCCTCCCTCTCTCGCCGCATAGCTGCTCGAGGGAGTTCCCGCCCCGAAGCAGCATTCACTCACCCGACCGAGCCCCACTACCCCTCGCGCGCTCGGCCGCCAGGCAGTCGACGACTGGGATGCTGGCGCGGGCAACGAGTGCGCTCGCCAGGCCCGCGCGGATGGAGGCACTGAGAATCATGCTATACAACCCCATGTCGCTGATCGAACCGCAGAGGACCACGGACATTTGGGAAACGCTGAGGGAGGATATAGTGGCATTGCCAAGGACCAGACTAAGGGCGAGTTCGGGGACCCCAGTAAGCAGGATGTCTTTGGGGAAGGGGGCCATGGCGTTCCACGCGGGGTGGGGCAAGGGCCGATTAGACCAACAAGCATGCAGGGTAGGGTGTACCGTCATGTTCGCGGCATGTTCAAAGCGAGACATCTTCGAGCGGAAACGACACCGACGTCGACCTTGCAGGGGAGGGGGCTGCCTATCAGACTGAGAAATCACAGGATGGACTTAAACGCTACAACTACCTACATGCCGCTGTTGAGTGACGAGTCTGCGAAGAAACGGAGGGCCCTCGAGAGAGGGCCCCATGCAGCTACTCCAATGGGCCACAAGAGAACTCAGAGCTGTTCCGACCAGGTCGACGCCCATCTTCCTGGGAGACTTCAACGCGCATATGGGCTCCGAGGAGGTCTCCCGACGGTCGCCCCAACGTCGCCGTTCGATTGGTGGGAAAAAAGAGACGCTCCTGGCGGTGCCCTACAACACGGGGGAACCATGGAAATGTACGGCGAAGTAACAGCAGACAGATACGGAGAACCCACGTACTACGGCAGCAAAGCAAACAGCAACGCGATTGACCACATCTTCGTACCGATGGTGGTTCTAGAGCAGATAATATCAGGTCGAGCCCTTTGGTCAGAGATGTCTGGACCTTCGCGCACATCAGTGGAGCAGAGGATTTCTTCGAGTCCTGCGAGAGGTGGGGGTGTTCTTGGGAAACATTATTCCTGGAGGACGAGGTTCGGGAGGTCTTGTTCAAGCTGGTCCCGGACGTATTGCGGGCTGCGGTTTTACATGATGGGGGGGAGCTGTTCTCATTTCGACTCAGGGCCCATGCAGGCTTTTCGGGAAGAAGGTGGGCCCTGAATGGAACCTGGCACACACGTCTGTTCGCTTAATGATGAACACGGTAACATATGCTCACAAGTATTCGACGCCAGGCGTGCTCGGTCGACAGGGGGTGAGCACGGAATGTTAAAACCGCTTTTCTCGTCGATGATCTCGAACGTCTGCCCGCAGTGCCGCAGTTGTTTCTCGACCAGAGATAGTGCTAGACATCGCGTGCGCACGGCCTAGCTGAATGGCCGATGTCGACTCCATGGGGACTGCGTGTCCTGCGCGCGGAGAAGAGCATGAAACGAATATGAGTGCCGCCAATGGGCCAGCTTGTCCCCGCCTTTGTTATTCTCGCACACATGATGGCATGGCATGATGGCACGAACCCCTGCCAGCCCAGACAGGGAGTGGACCTCCCGCGAGGATGCCGCGATTTGCTGGGCCATGCAGTCGAGCAACGCGGGCCTCCTTCGCCCGTCGCCATTCTGCCCGGAGCTCCGACAGTCCGCCCGGCGGCCGCAGCGCGTGCAGCAGCGGCGGGAGTCGCCCGCGATGTCCCTCGTGCTTGGCGGAGAGGTGGCGGCGAAACCCGAGAGCGAGAGGCAGCAGCGCCGCCGAACGGCAGAGGGCGAGCAGCCGAAAGTGACCAAGTCCTCCGCAGGTTACAACCCCGCCAACAGGTCGCTGCTGGTGCACATGATGCAGATGATCATGCAGCTGGCGCAGTCGCGCCGCGCCGCGGAGGGGGTCCTCTTCCTCGTCATCATAGCGCCGCACGACATGCCAGAGGTAAACCGCGTGGCCGAGCAAAGGGGGCAAGTGCAACGAGCAGGTCCAAGCCAAAGGAACAAAAGGGCACAATCTATGCGCTCCGCATCTGTATGTATTCGGAGGATTGCTCGAGGCGCTGATCAGCCGTCAGGAATCCACCCGCAAAGCGAACTTCGTGCGGCTGAAGGAGTGGACGGAGCTCTTGGGAAAGCTGGGGTACGAGGACCGCGTGGGCGTGATCAAGTTCACGAAGCTCGACAGGTGCTACGACCAGCAGACAAAGAGGATCACGCTGTGCCTGGGGGCGTGCCGCAAGGAGGTGATATCGGCGCTGACCCAGCTCGGCGGCGAGCTTAACTCGGGGAGGGCGCCGGCGACGCACGTGGAGAGGGAGACTCAGGAGTGGCTCGAGGCGTTTCTTGCATAGATGAGATTACGGGGCAGAGTTCATCGTTGGCCAATGAAGCTGGGGGGTTGACAAGTACCGTTTCAGAAGATATGGGTGATTCACAACATTCAGTTTTTTCAGGAATTCAGGCAAATATCGACTCACATCATTCAGTTTCTCCAGTGGTTCAAGGCAACGATGCTTGCGCAGCACTCAGTGGTTGGAAGGAATGGATGAAGGCGTCGTCGGTGTCGCGGTCGATCCCGCCGCCACTGCCGTCTCGCACCTCCAGGTCCGCTGGGATCCAGAGGCCCTCGAGGAGGATTTTGCCGCCTCCTTCGATTGCGCCCATGAGCCCTCAGAGGTTGTCGTGTGCATCCCAGAGGCCCTCGAGGAGTATTTCGCTCAAGCCCTCTATTGCCCCCAGGGGCCCACAGAGATTGACGTCGGCTGCCCAGAGGCCCTGGAGAAGTATCTCGCCTACTGCGATTGCCCCCAGGAACCCACAGAGATTGCCGTCGGGATCCCAGCGGCCCTTGAGGAGTATTTCCACCCCCCCGCCGATTGCCCCCACAAGCTCCAGTAGGTACCTAGGCCCGATGGAGGTTGGAGTGGAGGTGAGAGCGGTAGCGGACAGGTATGTACAGAGGCACGGCGGAGAGGCCCCCACAGGCGACACAACGGTATAACGTTTTTTAACGGCCTACGGGATTCCCAGGGACTCGGCCAGGTGGGAGGCCCTCTTCCGTAGCAAGCACGTACAGGAGATGGTTCGGATAATGGGGTGTTTTTTTCCGTCTTTCCCGCGGGACTGGATTCAGGTAGCTCGTACCCGCGTTCAGTGCTTCGAGCAGTGGACCAGTTCACGGTCTAGCCTTGGGGCCAGCGCCCCAAACGTTTAGGATCTTATCTTAAGGATAGTCTCTGGGCCTTTTTTTCGAGTGTTGTAACTGGACGAACCAGGCCCCAATGGAGTGTTTCTTTCTTTCTTTCTTTATTTCTTTCTCTCGCCGCATCTCGTTCTCGTCGTCGCCATCCTCCTGCCCCTCCTCCTGCCCCTCCTCCCCGTCCTCCTCCTCCTCCTCCTCTTCCTCCTCTTCCTCCTCCTCCTCCTCCTTTTCCTCCTCCTCCTCCTCCTCCTCCTCCTCCTCCTCCTCCTCCTCCCTTCCCCCCCTCTGCCTCCCTGCCGGGCCCCGGCGCGCGCTCCCCCCCCCCCCCCGCGGCAGGTGGCGGCGGGAAGGAACTCCTCATCGGGGGCGGCGTGGACGACGGCGCTGGCGCGGCCGAGGCGAGGGGCGGTCGGGAGCCTTGAGACGGGGGTCAATGCAAACGGGGGTCAGCCAGGGCACCAGATCCTGCAGGATCCTGCGGAGACCCCGTCTGGCTGACCCGGGTTAGCGAGCCGCTCGTGGCCGCGAGGCGGCCGCGCATATTGGCTGACCCGGGTTTGCGAAGACCTGCGTTGCAGCTTTTGTTTCTTGCGTTGCAGTTTTTTGGTTACCTGCTGACCCAGGTATGGGTTGACCCGGGTCAGAAGATCCCCGAGGCGGCCGGACGCAGCTCGGAGAGCTGGGGGCGCTTGGGCGCCGGGAGGGTTCCGAGTGCAGAGGTCTCTTGCTGCCGTTGTCGGGGGCCCCCGAACTTAGCTCCCTCCCTCCCTCCCTCCTTCCCTCCTTCCCTTCTTCCCCAGTTCCCTCCTCCCCTCCTCCCCTCTTCCCCTCCTCCCCTTCTCCCCTCCCACCCTTCGCACGTTTTCCTATTTTTGGGCCCCCTTGGGAACCCCCACATCGCCACCGCTGAGTGTTGGGCCAGCCCCTTCCAAGAAACAACTTCCTTCAAGAAGCCTTCCCCCTCTCCCACATGCCCCGTTGTGCGCGCCGCCAGATACAGCCGTCAGGGACCGACGAATCGACTACCACGTCGGAGGTCTCGGGTGTTCGCTGCCGGTGTCCGTGCATAATTCGCTTGGGTGTCCGTCGCTCGGTCGGATCGGTTGCTTCGCAGTTGGCTGCACACGGTTGGTTCACACGTCACGGGCGTTGTGTGTACACGTGCAGTCAATCCTGGTAGTAGGGATGATCAACTGCCCAAGTGTACCCTTACATCTCTGCCTCTTCGGTCATCTTCGCTACATCATCAACCACGTTCGACTCAGCCCCGATCGAAGAGATTCGGCATGGGCGTTCAAGGCCCTTGCTTACCGCGCGTCCTCTCTCTATCTGATGGCCTTCGGCCCACTCTGCCACCGTGCCTGTGAGGATCGAGGCTTCGAGGATTCGGCAAAGGGCCCGAGGACACGCCCACCCCGTGCACAGACCCTCCCTGCATGGGTTGACTGCACCTCCACAGGCCCACGACGTGATTGGTCTCACAACGTCGACCCCCCAATCGGTCTGGACCCCCTCTCGGGGACCGGCTTGCCGTCCTGAGGCATTCTTTGGCGCTCCCCGGGCCCGGCGAGTGCCCCCGGATGCCGAAGATAGCAGAACATGCGGGCAATGCGCATGTCCACATCCACTGCGTCTTGGAGCTTCGGGCGCACTTCCCCAGAAACATGACGCGCACTGGATATGGATCGAAATCTGGCTCCGCAAGGCTCGGTCTTGATCCATATCCAGTGCGCCTCGGCCCTGCGGCTTCACTTCCAAGAAAGCCCAGGACGCACGGGATATGGACGCAGGTATTGCCCGCAGGATAACTTCCCGTCGTGACTATTTTTTTTCGCAACGCGAGGCGGTCTGGGCCTGCCAGGCCCAAACATCGGGCGAAGAGAACTGTGCACATGCACCGGTCCCGGCCAGGCCCGTCCTCGGCCCCGGGATCGGTGCACATGCCCTCCTGGCAAAGGCAGGAGGGCGCATGCACCGACCTTGGGCTCAGGATGGGACCTGGCCAACATCGGTGTATGTGCATCGCTCTTTTTCCTCTAGGAGGAGGGATGGGGGATGGAGGAGGGGGGAAAGGAGGAGCAGGAGGAGTAGGAAGAAGAAGAGGAGGAAGTGGGGGAGGAGGGATGGGGGATTGAGGAGGAGGAAAAGGAGGAGGAGGAGGAGGAGGAGGAGGAGGAGGAGGAGGAGGAAGAAAGAAGAGGAGCAAGTAGAGGAGGAGCGAGGGGAATGGAGGAGGAGTACGGCGGCGATGGACCGAGGCGCCCCCCCGAAAAACTGCGCGCCCTCGGGGGCCCCGCGCGGCGGCCCGCGGCCGCCCGCGCGCGGCGCGCAGGCCGCGGGGCCCTCCTCGGCGCCGGCCGCGGGCGCCGGGCGCGCCGCGGCCTCGGAGCTGCCGGCGTCCTTCTCCGAGGCGGCCCCGGCCCGGAGTTCTCGGAGGAGGATCGGGGGAGCGTAAGACCCGGGTTTGCCGGGACTCGGGTTCGCCATCGTTTTTGGACGACCGCGACTCGGATTTTGACGAGGAGGAGTTGCGTGGGATGTTTGCAGCGGGAGGCCTCGTCAAAATGCAGGCTCGGCCTCGTCATTTTTTTGACGACCTCGTCGGGGATTTCCGGGTCCCCCGTACCCGGGTCTACGTCTCCCCGAGAGGAGGAAAGTCGGAGGACACGCCGATGAGCGCATTGTCGGCACGAGCGAAAGGGGTACGGAAAGAATGGTCATACGGAGGAGGAAGGAAGTCGGCTCTGGTCTGATGCTGTTCCAGCCTACTTTAGCCTGGATCCCCGGAATGAATTTCGAGCCCCCCCAAAAAATACCGAAGCTCGATGGTTTTCACGTGTCGGGCCCAGGGAGACACTCGCCCGACACTGTTTCGACACTCTTTCGACACTCTTTCGACACTTTTCCGGGTGCTCGAAGTTATTTCTGGGATGCGGTCCTTAAGTAGAATGGGAACAACATAAATTTGGATGCCCGAAGTGGTTACGGAAAGAAGGTGTACAATGCCCCACAGCAGTTCCTGTTCATGTTGAACAGGAGTCGCTGTCCGCGCCGCTGCGGCCTGTGCCAATTTGAGACAGAAGGCCGCCTGCCCAACAGCGGCCGCTGTTGGTTTGGGACAACATTTGTTGTTGGGCATTCGTTGGCCGAGGCGGCCCCAGCCCGGAGCTCGGAGGAGGACAATCTGTGGCGAGCGAGGGGGGAAGTGAGAAGGAGGAGGCCTTCTCGGAAGGCGGCAGGACTTCTCCGAAGCCCTCGCGCCTTCCGAGAAGTGTTTTGTGCATGCGGGGAAAGCTGAGAAGACTTCTCAGGAGGCTGGGGGACTTCCAAGCCTTCTGAGAAGGCCCGCTCCTTCTCACTTCCCACCTGGGCGCGCCGCCTGGAAAAGTCGGAGGGTGATATACCTCCTACCCTGACACGTCGACTAGCGAATTGGCCGTTTTCGGTTCGCGAGAGGGCGTCGCGGCCGTCATTTTTGCGGATCCAGATCCGTCGGTTTCGGTCCTAAAGGGAGGTTCAGGCCATTTTCACTAAAAGGTGGTTTACTAAAGGGAGGTTTGTCCACTGCCGAAAAAGGTACCTCTACTGGGATGACCGTGGGGTGTTCTAAGTGGATAGGGGGGCGACAAGTGGATGCTAAGGTAGGCTATATCTGGCCCACTACGGCCTGCAAGTGGGTTACGCATTCCCCGTGTGGCTTAAGGGGCGTTAGATAGCTCCGCTAAGTGGGTGGAGCCCACTTAGCTCGGATCGTTAACCCCCCTAAGCTACTCGGGGCAATGTAGCCCACTTCTAAGCCAGGGTGGGCCAGATTTAACCAACCGTGGTATCCACTTGTAACCCCCCTATCCCCTTAGAATCCCCCACGGTCATCCCAGTAGGCCTCCCAGATGGGGTCAGAGTAGATGAGGTCGGAGGATCGCGCCGCATCGTCGATGCATCGGCCATGCGGCTCGATGTGGAGCCAAACCACGCCGGAGTGCCAATGTCGCCGACGCATCGGCGATGTATCGGCGACGCGGCCTGAACCGCCGACCCGACCCCATCTACACCGATCCCATCTAGAAGGCCTCCAGGCCTCTGGGAGGCCCAGAGTCTGGAGGAGGAGAAGGTACTCTTCGAGCAGTGGCGGAGCGTCCTGGTTTTCCTATAGGCCTATAGGCCCACCAAAACATGCTCTGAGAACATTTGCACGAAGGGTTCGAAAGAGCGCGTTCTGTGGGCGCTTGGAAGGGGGGGGGGTCTGGAACCAGACCCCCCCCCTTGGGATTCCCCGGGGATTGAAGGGGGGGGTCGTACCCCACGCCCCCCTCTCCCATGACGGAGGGGGGCGGTTCAAACCCCCCCCCTCCCCGCCCTCTCTTTTTCTCTTCTCTCCCGCTCCTCGGGCAGGCGCTGGCGTCGGCGGCGACTGGCGGCGGCGGCGGGGAGCGTCGATAAGTCGACGACTACCTTTTCTTGGCCGACGCCCTCGCTTGCGGCGGCTGGCGGCGGCGGCGGGAAGCGTCGACGAGGACGATGGCGACAACGATGACGACGACGACGCTCCGCCACCGTGCCTTGGTTTTGCGTCAGAGTTCAGAGTCCTAATGGATGCCTCTTGGGGTCTCGTCGGAGGGTTCTCGGGGGCCTCTGCAGTGCATTTGTGAAGCCTCCTGGGCGCCGCTGGGACGTCTCTTAAGGCCTGTCTGAGGTGGTGGTGGTGGTTGTGGTGGTGGTGGTGGTGGGCTGCGGTGGGTGGTGGGTGGTGGTGGTGGTTGTGGTGGTGGTGGTGTGGTGGTGGTTTGTGGTGGTGGTTGTGGTGGTAGGTTGTTCTGGTGGTGAGGTGGTGGTTGTGGCGGTGGTGGTGGCGTGGTGGATTGTGGTGGTGGAGGCAGTGGTGGTTGGTGGGCGTGGTGGTGGTGGGTTGTTGTGGTGGTGGTGGCGGCTGTGGTGGTGGTTGCGTGGTTGTTTGTGGTGGTGGTGGTGAGTTATGGTGATGGTGGTGGTGGTGGTAGTGGTGTTGTCGATGGTGGTGGTGGAGGCGTGGTAGTTTGTAGTCGTGGTGGTGGTGGTGGGCCGTGGTGGTGGTGGTGCTGCTGCTGCTGGTGGTGGTGGTGCTGGTGGTGGTGATGTGTGGTGGGTGGTGGTGGTGGTGCTTGTGGTGGTGGTGTGGTGGCCTTGTGGTTTGTGGTGGTCGTGGTGGTGGTGGTGGTGGGTGGTGGTGATGGTGGTGGCGGTGGTGGTGGTGATGGTGGTGGTAGTGGTGGTGGTGGTTCGTGGTTGTGGTGGTGGGTTGTCGTGGTGGTTGTGGTGGGTTGTGGTGGGTTTTGGTGGTGGTGGTGGTGCTAGCGTTTTTGGTGGTTGTGGTGTAGTGGTTTGTGGTGATGATGATGGTTGTGGTTTTGGTGGGTTGTGCTGGTTGTTGTGGTGGTGGTGGTGGTGGTGACAGTGGTGTGGTGGTTTGGTGGTGGTGGTGGTGGTGAGGCCTTCGGGTCTGCCCGCCACCGTGTTTTGGCTTTGAGTTAGGTGGTGGTGGGGGTTGGTGGAAGTTGTGGCGGTGGTGGTGGTGGTGGTGTGGTGGTTGGTGTGGTGGTGGTGGTTGTTGGGGTGTATATGGCGATTGGTGTTTCCCCTCTGCGGCCTCTTGGGCCCTCTCTGGTCATCGTCGCTGCGTTCCCGCCGGCGGCGCTGCTGGCCGCCGCCAGCTTCGGCGCCGACGCCAGCTCCTAGGTGGGGGGGGGGGTTGGAGCCCCCCCCCCTCTGCCGTCTGCCGCCGCAGCCAGCGCAGGCGTCGGAGCGAAGGGGGCAGCGTTGAACCCCCCCCAGCAGCTGGGAGGGGGGGGTTTTGGTGGACGGGGGGGGGTTAGGGGGGAGGGGAGTCCCCCTGGTTCTGATCGACGGCGCCGAATGCGCGGGGGGGGGCCGCCCCCCGGTTCGAAACACGCCGCCGCATGTTCCCAAGGCAAGCGCGCTTGAAACGCATGTCTCAAAGGTTCTTAGAGCGTTTCTGGCTGAGACTGTTTTGTTTTAGCACGACAGCTTTATGTTCTGAGATCATTAGTTCGTTCTAAGAACATTCTCGGGTTCTAAGATCATTTCGTGGTAGGCATATAGGATTGCAAGGACGGTCGGTCCCTGCTCAAGCTCTCGGCCTCTTGGATGGGGTCGGAGTAGATGGGGTCGGGGGATCGCGCCGCATCGCCGTTGCATCGCCAATGCGGGTCGATGTGCATCCCGATCTGCTTCACGTCGACGTCCCCGATGCATCGCCAACGTCGGCGATGCATCGGGATGCAGCGCGACATCCTACTATCCCATCTATTCGGACCCCCTCTAAGCGGCTTCCTAGTTGACGCACGTTCAACACTCGTAGTAATAGGGGGCGGCAAAGAGGGGGGGGATGACTACGGGGGTGTGGATATCATGGCGGAGGCCGTGACATCCCCCCCAGATTTCATGACGCATCGTGTTATTCAAATGCGTCCCCGGCACCCCCCTGGGTCGCGCACGCGCCGCCGACCATGATTTGCGCCCCTCTTTGTTGGACGCCCCCCTCCCGGACGCCTTCGAAATCAACAAGGACAACGTGCAGATGTCCCATGGTACCCCTGCGCCCTTGCCTCTGCGGCCCGTCCTTTGCGGTTTTCATTGGCCAGTTCTTCAGGGTGTTGGCAGTCCGCCGCCCAAGAAGTGCCAACTTCGGCGTCCAAGGCCCTTTGCGTCCTTACCGCCCGTCCTTACTATAGACTTCGACTGTCTTCCGCCAGAGGAGGAACGGTGCCCATACCGCTACGCTTCGCCCGTCTTCCCTTTGTTGGGCCTCGTGGGAGGCCCTCGTCGCCATCGCTGGATTCGTCCCGAAATCCTGAGCAGAACGCACCCCAGGAGAGGTCTGGGCGGTATCGGTGCCGTTTGGTTTCCCTATTCCGTGTCATACAGTGGGGACGCGTATCACGAAACCATATGTTCTTTGTCAGGATGCCCTGTTTTTTTCGCTCCGCGCGCTGCGCAGTGATTTCCGCGGCCGTTCAAGGGGCTGCTGCGTTCAGGTTGCTCCAGGCTTCCCCTCCAGGTGCGTCTGGCCCGCTGCTTTTCAGGGTTGTTTGTTTTGTTTCTGCGGGTGGATCTTGCAGCTGCATCCGCGCTGCATGCATCTTGCCCTTGCGATGCCACGCTCTCGCCAGTGTCTGATTCTCTGATTCGAGTATGACGCCATTCATCGGCGGCGAGCGTGGGGGGAAGCGAGAAGGAGGAGGCCTTCTCAGAAGGCGGCGGGACTTATCAGAAGCCCTCGCGCCTTCTGAGCAGTTTTCTCCGTCTTCGGGCAAGGCTTGGAAAGCTCCTCAGAAGGCTGAGGGACTTCCGAGCCCATGTTTCTGCGGCATCTGTCGAGCCGGATCGAGTTGTGGGGTCCTGGTCGGGGCTTAAGAAACGGGGCTCAGTGCAAACGGGGGTCAGTCAGAGCGCCAGGGCTTGCATGATCCTGCAGAACCAGGGGTGCACTGACCCGCGTTTGGGTACAGGATCTTGCAGGGTGCTGTAAGATCTTGCAGGATCCCGCAACGCCCGACTGACACGGGTTGGGATTGACCCGGGTCAGTAGATCCCCGACCTGGGGATCTACTCTCAGGAAGACGGCTCCAAGAGGCTCATGCGGGGAGACGTGACGGGGTTCAGGGGAATCGCGCCCAACCCAAGAAGATTTCAGAATCTGGGGTTCGGCAAAGGACCCAAGGACACGCCCACTGCGTGCCAGGGTCACGGTGGCGTGTGTATATATATATATATATGTATATATACATACACATGATTCTTCAGGCTTCCGCCACATCCGCCGACCCCTTGGATTTTCCCCGGGATCGTTCACCACAGCTTCCTTGCAAACCGTGGGAAAATGAGGTTGTTCAGGGCCCGTCACAGCGAGAAGGGGAGCCGACATGGGTCGCAAACTGGCCCAGAGGGCTTCCAGACGGCCCAAGCGAACCCCAAGACGGCACAGGGAGGTTTTTTGGGTTGTGTTTGGGGCCTTGTACGGGTGCCGGAGCCAGGGAAGTATGTTACACCCAGGAGACATCTTACGGTTGTCGGCGGTTTCCAAGCGGGATGTCCCGCTAACTGTTAATGTTCGGAGATGTTTGGGCTGACCTTGTCGATGGCAATGACGTCGTTGATGATCACGACACTGATGACGATGATCGGCTCCCTCTCCTCCTCTCCTCCTCCCCCTGCTCCTCCCTCCTGCTCCTCTTTCTGCCTCTCCTCCTCTTCCTTCTCCTGCCCTTCCTCCTCCTCCTCCTCGTCCACGTCCTTCTTCCCTTCCCTTCCCCGCCTTCTTCTCCTCCTCCTTCTTGTCCTTCTCCTGCTGTTCCTCCTCCCGCCCTTCGTCCCTCTCCTCCTCCTCCTCCTCCTCCTCCTCCTCCTCCTCCTCCTCCTCCTCCTCCTCCTCCTCCTCCTCCTCCCCCGCCTTCTCCTCCTCCTTATCCCCCTTCCCTTCCCGGCCTTCTCCTCCTCTTCCTCCCCCTCCTTGTCCTCTTCCTCCTCCTCCTTCTCCTCCTCCTGCTCCTCCTCCCCCCCCCCTCCTTCTCCTGTCGCGGGGCCCTCGTGGAGGCTTCTTGGACCGTCTTGGTGCGGTCTTGGGAGGCTCTCGGGCCGCCCCGGAGCGCCCCAGAAGGCGCACGTACGAAAAATACACGTTTTACGAA